TTTGGGGAGAACACTGACAATGATAGAAACTGATCATTTGTTCATTCAATATAACTAGTACAAGTTTCACATGTATATTTCAGTACTCCATATGCTCTGTTATAAAATGCATCTCCAATAGAAATGCACACAAAACCAAAATAGCATTCATTGTATACTTGATCATACAAATATGACTTTAAAGGGTGGTAGTCGTCACACCACGGATGTGCGAAATATATGGATCTCATATAAATAAAGATTGCGACTTTGACTGTTGCGCAGATCAACGAGTACAAACTGAGATGTTACCAAGCTTTAATTAGGTATTTTATTAGGTGTTTAGAAGGTATCGAAGAAGTCATGAGCAGTAATTAGTGCTAGTCGCACCAAGGTCGAACCTCATACAATTTCCATTAGAAGAGCGCATTGGATTATGGGAAAATCAATGTTTCATCAACACAAATGTCGCATATGTGCAGTGCGACGACCACCGCCCTTTAATATTTTGATCATAGCCACACCTCTGTCCTTTACATAATGTCAGATATTTGTTAATATTGTAAACATAATTGTTTTGATTTTTGAATATTGATAGATTTGTAGCTAGATATGATCCGATGTGTTAGAAAATTAATCTATAAACTTGTTATATTTTTCTCTATTGTTAGTGTAATACCATAGAAAATATATGTATTACCATTCTCCATTGTTCAGTGTCTTATTTATTGTCTATATTGATTTCTTTTTCAGAGTTATGAGGTCTTAAAGAAGGCATTATCTGCATTGAAAGGTAGACCCGCTGTAGGCGGTGGTACCTACGAAACTGTTCATACGTACGTACTCAATCCCAAGTCTATCACTATGGGACAGTTGTACGGTGAATTTGATTTGCTCACTCATGAATGGTAAGTTCCTTATTAATTCTTATCTCTAAATAAGACAACTTTTGTTTCTTTATTTTATAATTTGTTGTGATTGTGTTGGTGTGAAGAATACACAGCCACGAATGGATGCATCACAAGTTGTAGGTGATGGCGCCCTCATGTAGTGTTCCAAAGAGAACTTTTGTTTATCTGCATCAGTTTGTTTAGTACTCATGGCAGCTGTATAATTACTTGACATCACTTGTGTTAATATTTCTACATAACTGTAGATGAAATGCCACCAATTTGTTATGAAGTTGTAGTCCTAAAACTTTACCAGACTCACCAACACCAACATCTAGGTGAAATATAAAATATATAATAATGTAAAATACTGTAAAATCTGTATTAGAAACCACGACTTCTAATAAAATGGTACAATGCAACAGAGGGGATGCGACTTTTATTAGAGCATCTACACATATGAGAAATGGTGAATTTTTAGGTCTCAATTGTTCAAAAAGAATGGGTGCGGCTTCTATCAGGAATGCGGCTTCTAATACAGATTTTACGGTACTTTGCTGAAATATTTTGGGTGTTTTGTATGGAATTTATTTTCACTGATTTTCGGCAAGATGAATGTAAAACATAGGAAATAAAGGTATATTTTATTTTCACTGAATCATCCCTTCATTCCTAACAAAAATAAAATATTTTAAAGTATTAACATATACCGTATATATATTGTTTCTTTTAATACTTGGCAGAAAATATAGAATCTATAAGATCTGAAATTCACAAATAAATTTATAAACTAGATTTCATTAGTAACTGAATATATTTGTCTTTGCTATAAACTAAAACTGTCTACTAGACCCAAACCCAATCTTAGGCTGTTCATCCACCATTTTTCCATTGATCTATGATATTGTTATTTAGACATCTTGGTTAGCTAACATTAATAATATAATAATATCTTATCTTGTCACATTGCAGGACTGACGGTATCCTGTCATCGTTGATTCGTGTTGGCGCGTCTTCCCAGGATGAAGACAGTCGTTGGTATATATTTGATGGCCCAGTGGACGCTGTCTGGATTGAAAACATGAACACAGTACTGGACGACAATAAGAAACTGTGTTTGAGTAGCGGAGAAATTATCAAACTGACTGACGTATGTATACAAATGTATATATATATATATATATATATATATATATATATATAGTTATCTATGGAAATATAAAAGCATTAAAAAATGTTGATATTTCATTTACTGAACGGAGGGGGTCCAAACTCGTTTGACAATGACTTCATAACTTCTTCATTTTGTTAAATTGGGAAAAATACATAATTCAAAAACTAGTTTTCTTTCAATAGTTTTGGAAATTCATGTGTATAGTCATATTTCTATGTATCTAAAAAATGTGCATGACTTCATTTTTTTTTTATCAGACCAGTTTCTATCAGAAAACATGATATGAATAAGATCTTTTTGATCTTATACAACACCAGATATCCTCTATGAGTGTACTTTAAGTTTAATTAATACACACAGCCATGGCTAATCGCAGTTGATTTCACATGACTGTATGAAATATGATTAGCCATACAGAAGAATAAAATCAATCCCCATTGCAGAGTGGCAGACTTCTATAGAAGAATGATTATTCTTTTCTTCCATATTGATAATAAATAACTAAATAATAAATTTTATATAAAACATAATGTTGATTTTTTTTTGTACACAGTGGATGCGAATGATGTTTGAGGTAGCTGATTTAGCAGTGGCGTCTCCCGCCACTGTTAGCCGATGTGGTATGGTTTACTTAGAGCCGAGTATTCTGGGACTACATCCATTTGTTGAATGCTGGCTTAAGAAGTTACCTGACAATATCTACCCACATAAAGACGCACTCAAGGATCTTTTTGATAGATATATGGAGGTAAGTACCTATGGAAACCCTAAAGGTAGTGTTCAATACCACTGTGCCCTCTAAGTCGATATGATGCACCATTGACACACAAAGATTTCCTGTGACATAACTAAATGTGCTAATTTACTGTCGGATGTTGTGATGCATTTTCGTGTGAAATCGCAAAATTACGTATTTATGTCAGTCAAACTATAGTGTGATATAGGATGGCATAATCTGTTGATTCAAATTTGAAATTGATGGAATTTGTCATTCCAGCTCATTGAATCATTCAATTTAACTGAGTTTGTTTTGTGTTCTCACAGGATTCAATCAATTATGTTCGAGGTAGTCTGAAAGAAATTGTTCCGACGATGGACAGTCAGTTGTGTCTGAGTTTACTCAAGTTGTTGGATTGTTTCTTTACACCATTCATTCCCAGAGAGGTAAACACTTTATTTTTATATATTACATGCCATCACTTTCACAAATGTTTGATTACCTCTATGCCACTTAATACAGCAAGCAGGCAGAGATTCAACAAGGTGGCATATCAAAATCTTGGCACAATAATTTTCTAGGAATTTTTCCAAATGCAATATCACTTTTTTTGAACCACATTGTCAGAAGACATTGGTTACAAATTTTGAGAACAAAATTTTGAACAGGATTATTTTGCGCAGGGTTACAGAAATCAACAATGGTGGTAAAAGGGCTAACTCATTTGCATATTTTGTAAATCAAATTGTCAACAGGATTATTTTGCACAAGGTTACAGAAATACATAATGGTGGTAAAAGGGCTAACTCTGTTGCATATTTTGTAAATCAAATTGTTAACAGGATTATTTTGCGCAGGGTTACAGAAATACATAATGGTGGTAAAAGGGCTAACTCTGTTGCATATTTTGTAAATCAAATTTTGAACAGGATTATTTTGCGCAGGGTTACAGAAATACACAATGGTGGTTAGAAGATTGATTGTCTCATATGCATATTATGTAAATCATGCTTATTGTATCTATGTTCTGTTTTTTTTTTTTGTGTCGCATTGTAAGGATTTTAGTATGATCAAATTTGCCCCAAAATCTAAATCTCCTATCCCATCCACAACTGAGGAGATAAAAAACATTGATGATATTGATGATGATAATGATGTAAGTTGAAATGTGCCCCACTTGTGATATGCTGATCTTCCTCCACCCTGGAATGGAACCATCCTAGAGTGTATATTGTTTATGGAAAACGTGTGGATTGTGCGATAATTTTTAGGGGTGAGGATGCACAAAACAAACCCCCTCACTATTTATGCATGTGTATTGACATTCATGTGTTTTGACATTCATTGTGATTGGCATGTGTTGCTTCTTCTTTTTGAGTTCAAGTTTATATGGTTTCGAATTTGACTAATTTATGCATACTTTGTTTTGACATTCATTGTATCAATTTGTGACATTTTTACTATACAAACTTTTATATTGTAATTTATTTATATGCTGTAATGTTTTTTTTGTATATTCCTTTTTTTTTATTTATTTTTCTTTGATTTATCACACTCACTGCAGTCCATTGGGGGTACCTTGCCTGTAAGTCACAACAACCTCCTACTACTGCCCCTCCCCTTTCAAATAAACTTCAACTCTCATTCACCCTCAATCTCATATTTGCTGTGATATAAGTTTCAGTTTTGTTGTTTTCTGAGTTACAATCAGTGTTTCCTGTAGAGCCTTGTTTTCAAACAAATTTTTCAGTGAAATAGAACAAGCTTAGAAATCGCAATACATGTATTCATCAGGTTACAGGGAACACTGGTTACAACTACTGTAAAGGGATTAATTATTCACTGGGTTTTAATTTTGCTTATTTCGCTGACTGGAAAATTCGCTAAATTAAAACCCAGTGAATATGTGAAAATTGGCATAGAACACATTATCTAAATGATAAAACTGTGAATTTAAAATCCGCTGAATATGCCCGAAATGCTAGATCTGCGAAATTCAAACCCAGTGAAAATTAGTCATTTTACAGTATGATCTATTGTAGCTGCATGAACCCAGAATGGAGTGGTCCACTAATTCCCCCTGATTAGAATTAAAAAAACAGTGTTATTTCCAATTGTTATATTCACATATTTGATTTGAAATTCCCAGTGTTGATGCCACGTAAAGACATGTCCAATACCGCACTACTAACATTACCTTAATCCCACATTCTTTCTTTATCCCATCATGCACCATTATCAGGCTGTATCTAGGGTAAGATACTGTATGTCCGTCATTCACTGAGTACATTTGTAGTCATTGTCAGTGTCAGTGTTCTCCCCAGGAGGGTTCACAGGGAGGGGTAAATTTAACAAACATTACAAATTTTAGAAATAGCTAGTACTCAGAAAGTAAAAAAATCCTGTTTTTGTACAAATTTATTTCATTTCTAAACATTGAGTTGTGTGGTTTCAAAAAGAAAAGAAAAAACAATATGTAACATGAGGGCGCTGTTTCCAGTTGAGGGAGAACACTGAGTCTATTTATAGTAACAATAGAAATACATTGCACCCCATTGACATTCTATGTAAAGGTGAATATAGCCAACTTAAAATAATATAAAAACAGATTTAAGAATGAAAAATAAAAATATTACTGATATGTATAGATATAATAAATGTCAAACAAATTGAATTGGGATCTAATCCTGATATTTTAAATTATATTTAAATTAAAATGTCTATCCGGATAGAAACGTAAATCATAATGTAACGTACATTATCATTATATCATAGAAAATCTGTCATATTTAATTGAAAACATTTTAATTAAAATTTTAAATTAATAACATCTGTAGTTACTAGTAGATCTTTCATTGCTTTTCTATCTTGGAATTCATATTCTACATGTTTTTGTTGCCAGGGTGACAAGCCGATATCTGAAGAGAAGCTGGGACGTATCGAAGAACTGATAGAACCGTGGTTCTTCTTTTGCTTGGTGTGGAGCGTTGGTGCGACTGTCGATATTGACGGCCGGATTAAGTTTAGTGAGTGGCTACGTGAAAGAATGCAGAAAGAAGGGGTGAGTGAATAGATGAGATGGGTTTAGAACCAATGTACGTGACAACTCTACCTATCTTGCAGTGAGTGCTTCATTGTATCATCTCAACTACTTGATGTCTGTTCTCATAGCCAGATCTATAAGACCTGCTTTAATACAGATTTGATCAGTAAAATGGATATGAAATTGACTAAATTATGCTATTCAAAAAATAAATAAATAAATATTGTTGGCCAAAATGTCCATGATTTTCATATCAGTCATAGTACTATGTTTCATAATATTTACTGCAACTCCCTATTTAAAAAACTTCAGTGAAATTCTCAGCATTATAAGATGTACTGGGTTTTCCACTCTCTTACAAATGAAAATATGTTATAGTACTATTTAATTCAAATGTGAATCATAGGAATGAAAAAAAAGCCCCCCCCCCCCAAAAAAAAGAAACCCCACACCACCTCAAAGTTTCTCAAAGTCAATCCCTTATCTCAATTTTCTGAATTAGCAGTGTGAGGGCGCTGTACCACTTTATACATATTATACCGTAAAACACATTGAAATAGTTACATGCCATTTTGGCAAATTTTATTCAATGCATGATTTAACAGTATCATAGCTTAGCTAAAGTATCAACAGTTTATTTCATTAAATTATCGAAAAATACAGATTATAACATGCTAGCTATAACAACATGTTTCACAGCACACTAGAGACCAGAATTATATTTCTATTCACAGGTAAAGTTGGCCTTCCCAGCACACGGGACTGTATATGACTACGTACTAGATGATGCAGGTATAAGCCAGACCAGAAACAAAGAAGACGATGATGAAGATGAGGGCTCCAAGAAGGAGGTATAATGAATTAATTAAGTATACATGACACCACTGCAGTTAATTTTTAAATTTTAGTAAACATGGTAAAATTGAACACTATCTAATCTGTGAATATTTAGCAGTCCTTGCTCCATAGACTTGCTTGTAAAAATAGCTATATCAACAAACGTGTACATATATGTTATACGAGTGTGTGCTGTGACTGGCTGGGATCAAACAGTTATTCAGATTCTACAACATGCATGCATGCAACTCAACTTTGGGCTTTTTCTGTGAATCCTCGAAACAGACTAGTTGTACGCATCACAAGAAAAAATGACAATGTTGTTTGCTGCTGTTGTTAAGATTCAATATATGTGTTCCTGTTAATAAAACAGTGGCTGTCATAGTTGATTGTGAGATCAGTTCTGATCAGTGAGCAGAATTTGTTATCAGATGTTCACATACTGGTTAGTAAAAAAATTAAATAAATTAGCTCACAATGTGATGACCCATAAATCACAGATTTTAGTTTCAAGACAGGTTTCACTGTATATAGGAAGACATATTCACCGCGACCACGATATGTGATGTTATGCAAATCTACAGATTTCAAGCATTGAGAATATATTCCACTTTAGTAGTGCGATATTAATAAACATATTATCATTTCTTAGATTGTACCGGAAGAGTCAGGCAGTGATCCAGCAGTAGCCAAGAAAAAGCTAGGCAAGGTAGCGAACACAGTAGATAGGGAAATAATGATTGTAGTTATTACAGGGTCAGATAGGTATATGCATGTAAAGTTTTTTAGCACCATTTCTGTGTAAAAATAGTCTCCAGATTTATTCACACATATCTAGGTAAAGTATTTATGGATTTTTATCTGTAAGACTGAATAAATTGTACACACCAGTAAGTGCAACTGATTTCCAGAATTTAATCATCTGAGAGTGGTGATTACATTCCACAAAATAACTATAGGATTATCTAAGCAACTTATAAAAATTTATAATCTTCAAAAATCATTTAATTGAGTCACAAAATTTGCCAAATTGAAATAGTTTAGCAAATGAAGAGTTAGAAAAATAACAAGTGTAAAAACATATAGATAAATAAATGAAGTAATATAATGGAATTTATATATGGAGTAATAATAGTTATTACGTTTTTGGAGACATGGATCTTAATTCATTGCTATTAATCGTGCCATCTTGTGACCTAGCGACATTGTGCGATGGCATAGTACCGTAAAATCTGTATTAGAAGCAGCATCTCTAATAGAAGTCGCATCCATTCTTTTTGAATAATTGAGAACCAAAATTTAATCATTTCTCATATGTGTAGATGCTCTAATAGAAGCCACATCCCCTCTGTTGCATTGTACCATTTTAATAGAAGCCGCGGTTTCTAATACAGTTTTTACAGTACTTCTGTGCTATAAAAAGCACTGACATTTTTTTTTTGATCTGATGACATCCATCATTAAAAATACAGTTTATTTCAGAGATTTTGTTATATTCTCTACACAACCAAATCATATCATTTTGATGTCTCAGAATTGCTTCATTGATATTTACCCCATTTTAAAGTGGACATACATGTAAATTATGACTGATTTCATTGAATTGATTCCGACATTATCAATGACTTAGTGTTAAACACTATTTATTCACTGTTGCAGGTGAAATGGTCAGGATGGATGACTGGTAAACCTGAATTTAAAATCACACCGGAGATGAAATTCTCTGATATCATTGTACCCACAGCTGACACAGTAAGGTCTGCGTACATGTTGGAAACACTACTCACTAACAAAAAAACGGTAAGTATGGTTTAAGATTGATCAATGCGATTCACAAACATAGATGGGTTTGATGTGATCGCACAGAATTTTTTGAATGAGAGCATGTTCTATTGCCCATGTATTAGCATAGGACAAACTATTTTCATGTATCTGTATGTATCCCCCATTTTATTTTCTTTAATTATAGTTCCAGATATAAATATTATTTTAATAAATTCTCGTTATGATACAGTTACATTGCTATCTTTCTTGCTGGCTACATCTATGTCTCAGTATTGAACTGCATTCGAAATAGTTTCAGAAGTTTTAGTAAGAAAAAACTAAACTGTGAGAGCCTCATGTCATTCTAAACTTTTTTTTTATTTATAATATTTTTTTTATTTTCCACACAATATTAACATAATAATTTACAGAAACAAAAGCGTACACACACACAGAAAAACTGTCATTCTTATCTTGATCTACAGCTACACGACATGTGCTCAGTGTAATAACCATGTATGTATGTTATCTGTTACTAGGTACTTTGCGTTGGTAACACTGGTACTGGTAAAACACTCACAATTGCCGACAAACTGCTGAGAAATATGCCCAAGGAATATGTACCAAACTTTATGTCATTCTCAGCGCGGACCAGCGCTAATCAGACTCAAGATCTAATTGATGGAAAACTAGATAAACGGTACGTGTACATGTAACATTTTGATACAAATTTGGGTATGAAATTTAATACCTTCAAGTTCAAGATCTGGATTATGACTTTGATATTGTGTTAATGCAGTGGAGTCAAATTCAAATTCTGTTCTACTGAGCATGTTACTGCACATATCTGCAATGCATTATGGGAGAGAACCTCCTATTGTATATAATGGAAAACTATTATCACAAAATTATATGTAAATTTTTTGAAATTCACAGTATTAGAATTCATATCAATAATAATATATAAGTTCCTCATGCCATGTCAAGCAAAAGTTTGAGATTTGACTAAATAATCTCACCAAAGAAACCAATGTAAAATTTTTTACCATTTTCCTTGATATTTAAGACTTGTATCTAGAAAAATTCTCTGGTGACCCCATATTTTAATTTCATTTTCGTTATCCTGATGGTATGATCTCATAACGATGAAAGTGTAGCAAACATGACATACATTTGTATAATCTTTAATTCGGCCCAAACCTCCATATTGATACATATTGATTTCTCATTCATTTTCGTCATATATCGAAGCTTTCAGCGGGCAATGCGTTAACCATAAAATTAATGTTTCCTATTATATTGCAGTCGGAAAGGCGTATTTGGTCCTCCTCTTGGGAAATACTTTGTCTTCTTTGTGGATGACTTAAACATGCCGGCATTAGAAGTGTACGGAGCACAGCCGCCAATAGAGCTGGTCAGACAATGGGTGGACCATAAGGGATGGTATGATAGAAAGCAGATTGGTAAGTAATTAGCATTGTTAAAAATTTCCAATATGTTATTTTTATTTTAAATTGGGTAGCGAAAACAATAGAATTCATTTGTATGCATACGTTTGAAAATGTTATAAATGTGTATGAATGCATTATGGACGTCTTTCATTTGGAAAATGTGTGTCAAACTGACGTCACACTTAAACTCTTTTCATTGTTTACATTGGATGCAACAACTGTGTATGTGATAGAAATGGAATGTAAACGGCCGTGCAGGAACAAACCTCGTAAAATACTTCCCAGCCTGTAATATTTTACCACAAATAGTAATAAAATATATAATAATACACAAATGTACAATTATCATAAGAATTCTGAAAATTCTGCGCTCAGCAAGTATCTCTGCTATGCTTTGGTTGATCTGATCACCGCACAACTTCTCTTCGTACTACATGGTATTTTCATTATAGCCTTGTGCCACCATTATCATGATTATGGTGGTAAAACTGTTGTCATCGTTGTTGTCGTCTTCAGTGTTAGCATATTATCCATTGTTCACAAAACATAGCGAAACTGTAGACACCTTGCCTATGTCTTCACACTGTAACTTGTTTCATTGTAGGTGCCTTCCGTGAGTTGGTGGATATTAATTTCCTCTGCGCCATGGGTCCACCTGGTGGTGGTAGGAATCCACTGACAGCTCGGTTAGCCAGACATTTCAATTTCCTATCATTCTGCGAGATGGAAGACTCCAGTAAATTCACTATCTTCTCCACTATTCTCAGTAGCTGGCTAGGTAAGAATATCAGATGTTGCACAATTTGTTTTTTGTAATAAGTAACACATGTTCTTTGTTTTACATTCAAGCAAAAAATATGGTACAGTGATAACCATTTTCATGAGCTATTATTATGCAATTGTCTGATGAATAGATTCCAAACAGTACTATGTAATTAACATTATAAAAGAATCTAAAGGTCATACATCCTGGTACTATTGGAGGAATATATCTTTCACATACCCCCAAATGCAAGCAGCTGTCAATGAATTTCAAAAATAGTTCATTATGCCAACAATTATGGTGTAATATTAGAAAGTATTGGCACTGTAGAACTAGAAAAAAGCCCCTCAGAAAAAAACAGTATATGTGATCTTAGGCCTATTATCATCACAACTCTTTTACCTCCAGTTCTAACACTACAATTATTTTATTTTATTATTGTGTAAAAATACCAAGTTAAACCTTTAACATTTGGTCTTTGATCTATAACCTTTGACCCAGGGCTTTTTATTTTAGATTTATATGTATCTTACTGTTAAAATTAATATAGTAGTTATTGTTCCATTTTTTAATTTATTTGTAATTGTTATTATTATTTTTTAAATGTTACTGCTCTTTTTTCCTTCCTACAGTGCAGCATTTCGGTCCAACGTTGGTGATCTCAACAAGTGACAAAGGTTACTTGATTTAAGTCTGATTCCTATTGTGTGTGTGTCAAACCACATCATTTAAATCATGTTATAAATATAAAATCTATAATTGGATTCTTCCAAGCCTAAGTGGGTTGCATGGCATCCTAACAAATCTGGGCCTGCAAGGAATATAAGTCACCAAACTCCCTCCTATATTGTCAAAATCTGCATGTCAATTTTATTTTCACTTTTCCCTATTCCGTTCATTAAGTATAGTCGTTAACAGGAATTCATCATTCTTTTGATTTCACGAATGGGTGTCTAAAGTTGTGTTAAAGGTTGCATGACTTGAGCAATCATGGGGTCTTTCATGCGTATAGGCTAGATTGACCTTAAGGTCATACATCCTGGTATTTTAATCAGTGCATGTGATATGAATTATTGGAATTACTCTTTTTTTTTTAAAGAGAGCATGTTTAACATATTAAGATTATTGATGGTTAAAATACCAGGATGCAGGATGTGTGATCTTCACAAGGTCATGGAGGTAGCCTCATCTATTGCGTTTCGTCATTCCTTGCTGTGTGGTAATTCCTACCTACAACTGTAAAACCTTCTTTCTGTTCCTTTCCCTGCATAATACATTATAACGGGCATGTCAAATCAAAGGGTCAATTAATTTTCTCATTCTGTGCATTTTAGGCATGTGCAGCAATTAGGGGGAAATTACTAGGCTAATGGGTATTACATCACATTTGTATTGTGCCACATTTGTTAGGCTAGGGGGTACCATGCCACATTTGTTAAGCTAGGGAGTATCGTGCCACATTTTTTGTTCGATCTATACACTAAGTTTAATACTTGTTTTTCATTGATACTAAAAAAAAGAATATTTTTAAAAAGTTGAGGACATTGATGACATACATTATTTAATAGTTAAGTTTCCTAAATCTGAAAATAAAAGACCTGGGGAGCATTATGTTTCTTAGTTCAGTGATCTAGACTATGCCTAGTAAGTTGTCCCCACTGTGTTAAATTCAATTTTCTTTGCTAACTTTTAATTTGCGTTTCTTTATTTAGAATCTTCGGCATCTGTTAAGGAGTTTGGAGAAAAAATGGTGAATGCTTCAATATTAGTGTACAACACAATTACAACACAGCTGTTACCGACCCCAGCTAAGAGTCATTATACTTTCAATCTAAGGTTTGTTTTATTTCACTTTCCATGAATTGGGGTTACTATAGTAATATTTGCAAATGAACATGATTAATTCTTAATATGTGTGACGACCAATAAACAACAGGCAAAAATAGCTGTCTTTCATGATTGTTCATAAATTAAAGCGAGAGGGACATCACCTGCGCACGCGCGGGAATTGAGTCCCAATCGACAATAATAACACACGCTAAAATCGCAAAGGCTTATGGATAGGCACTTATTTGTAAACAATGACACGCTATGGCCATTTGACACATGTGCAGGTGATGACTCCCT